TCATTGTGCGCCCACGGTTCTCTTTCTGCCCCTATTCAGCCCAAATTAGTCACGAGCAGCCCCCGGCTCCCAGAGGAAAAATAAATGAGGTGGGGGTTTAAACACGGGGGGGGGTGGGACCGTCCCCATGTCCACCCCCCACCCCACTCCCACCATCCAGAGGGGGAAAGATGTGGTGTCTTCTGTAAAACAGCCCCCAGACTCCCCCCAGGAGCTGGGGACACCAACATGGGATGGGGGACACCAACACGGGATGGGGGACACCAACGCGGGATGGGGGACACCAGCATGGGATGGGGACACTGCCAGGAGCTGGGGACACCAACATGGGATGGGGGACACCAACACGGGATGGGGGACACCAACATGGGATGGGGGACACCAACATGGGATGGGGGACACCAACATGTGATGCGGACATCAACATGGGATGGGGACACCAGCACAGGCTGGGGACACCAACACAGGATGGAGGACACCAACATGGGATGGGGACACCAACATGGGATGGGGGACATCAACATGGGATGGGGACACCAACATGGGATGGGGACACTGCCAGGAGCTGGGGACACCAACATGGGATGGGGACACCAACATGGGATGGGGGACACCAACACGGGATGGGGGACACCAACATGGGATGGAGGACACCAACATGGGATGGGGACACTGCCAGGAGCTGGGGACACCAACATGGGATGGGGACACCAGCACAGGGTGAGGACAACAGCAGGGGCTGGGGACACCAGCAGGGGTTGGGGACACCAACATGGGATGGGGGCACCAACATGGGATGGGGACACCAACATGGGATGGGGACACCAAGATGGGATGGGGACACTGCCAGGAGCTCAGGGTGACGGTGACAGCGTCCCACGGTGGGAGTGAAGGCCCAGGTACCACCAAGGCTACTGGAAGTGATGGGTGGCCACTTGGACAGAGCCGCATCCCCCTGGCACATCCCGGCACCCACAGCAGACGTGGTGAAGCCAAGACGGGTCAGAATTTGGCCAAAACCCATAAATTCAAGGTTTGGCCATTCCCAAAGGGCCCCCCCAGGAGTGGTGGTGGCCAAGTCCCCGTGTGGCAGTGGCCAAGTCCCCGTCTGCCGTGGCCACCGGGCGAAGCGAGAGCCCCAGCACGGCCCCGGAGAAGCACTTTTATTACCAAAAACGGAGAAGGAGAAGGAGAAGGAGCGTTCGCCCGGACGAAAACATTTCCAGCCAATAAACCAGCAAAACGGGCCAAATAGAAAATCACGTCTTACAAAATCCGACATACAAAAGAAAAAAAAAAAAAAGAAAACAAAATAATAATAATAATAATATCGGAGTAACGAGGTTATGACGTGGAACCAGGAAGGAGAAAGGGAACTTCCACTCACTCGGCCAACCCCGGACCCCGGGGCTTTTTGGGGAGGGACCCCAACGTCCCGGGTATTGCTGGGGGTCCCCGAGGGCAGGGACGCAGCCGTTAGCTGCTTTTAAAAAAAAAACCACCATAAAATATATATATTGCTTATTAAGAACCCGGTACGAGCCTCTGAAAAGCTGGATTTGAACCCGCAGCCGCTGCCCTCCAGCATCGCCCCGGTGGGAGGTTATGGCCAGAAATAGGAATTCCAGGAGGAGGGAAGACGAGCAGGGACCAAGGCTGGAGTGACACCAACTCTCCAGGCAGAGATGGGACGGGCACTGGCTCCTCCTGTGCTTCACCCCCTCTTCCTCCTGGGTCAATTCCTGGGGGAATCGGTCCCAACAGCCCCCCCAGGACCCACGGTGCTGGTGGAGACACTAAAGCTGCAGGAAGTGCCACCTTTTGCCTGATTCGGCCAGATTTTGTTCCGTAATTTCACCAAAAGGGCCCCGAGTTCCTGCGTGGCCACCAAGGGTTTTCCACCCGGAGCAACCGGGGTACGGCACCGCGAGGGCTTAACGAGGGGGGGTAAAAGGAGGGGTGAGGAGGGGTGAAAAGGGGTGAGAAGGGGTGAAAAGGGGTGAGGAGGGGTGAGAATGGGCTCCATTTTCTCCATTTTTCCTCCCGTTTTAGGTCCCTCTGGTCCCAATCTCAGGTCAACGGGTGATTTTTGCTCCGACGGTCCCCACCAGCCTCAGGCCGGGAGGGAAAGCCCCCAGTGAAGCCCCCCCTGTCACTGCTGCTTTTTGAAACTGGGAGACAATATTATTGAGAAAATCCTTCCCTCACACTCATCCTGCCGGATCCCGGCCGAGCCGGGGGTGAGATGATGCCGGAGGTTGGGAGCAGGATGGGACCACGTCCTTGTCTCCAGGGCTGGGAAGAGACTGGGGTAGGGCTGAGCCTCCCACCAGGAGGAGGAGGAAGAGGAGGAGGAAGAGGAGGAGGAGGGACCACTGGATGGCAAACAGGCAGCAAACTGCAAACCAGGAACCCCCCGGCGCCGCAGGGAGAACAGCGTCTTCCTTTCGCTCAGCTCTTCCTCATTTTTAAACTTGGTAACTTAGAAAAAACAAAAAAAAACCTAAAAAAGTAGCACAATCATACAACTACGGGGGATTCCCTGTCTACCCATCGCTAAACCCTAGAGAAACAGTGGGGAGGGGGGGGGGAAAGTGGGGGGAGGAAGGGGCAGGGGGTGCACGCACTCGAGAGGCACCGCTGCGAAGGGGCTGGACCCTCCTCAGACGATCCCGAAGCGTTCTGCTCTTTTCCTCTTCTTTGCCTGCGAAGGGGAACGACAAGAAAACCATTAACTCCCCCCCAAAATGAAACAAATCCACCGGTTTTTTTTTAAATCCCCCATGCGACCCCACGGGGGGGATTTAATTAATAATTTGGCCTCGGGGCCAGCACAGGAGCTCGGCGGCTGCGGCTCCGTCCTGAGCCCGGGGCAGCCCCGGAGGTTTCTCCTCTTCCATCAGGGACAAAGAGCGCCCCGAAATCGAGGAGCAGAAACCCCCCGAGCGCCTGCGACACGGCGCTGGCAAAGAGCTACAAAGGGGCTGAGCAGGGAACAATGCCCACTTGAGAGGCCTGGAAACCCTCCCCGGCAGTGGGGAGGTGGGAAATGTAAAAGGGCAAAGGGTTAACACTCTGCTATTCATGGAAAAGGTGAGAGGGACACACTAAAACGCATTAAATATACTATTGCGTCCCTCAGATATGCCTTTAAGCCGATACATGAGGGGCGTATAAATCTTAATTTTTAGCAGGATAAATAGCCCGGGGGCAACAGAAGCCCTAATCAAGAATCTCCAGGGGAAAGGTGCATTTGAGTGCACACAATACCAGTAAAAAGACCTTTTTGTTCCAGGCACAATCTCCGAGTGACCTAACGGAAAAGCATGGAATCCCCCGGCCCGGCCCGAGGGGCTCCTTCTCCCGTGCTCCGAGAGGGCTGGGAAGGCACTTCTGCACCAAACCCCCACCACAAAATCGGGCAGAAACCACCCCCAAACCCACCTGAATTGTTGGGAACCAAACAAAACCCACTTCTTCCCCGTTGAGCCCCGGAGAATCCAGGGGAGCAGCTTCCAGGAGCCAACGCTCGCCCGGCCCCAACCTTTGCCGTTGGGAGCCCCTGGTCCAGAGGGGTCCCTTTGTCCCCAGGGGAGGGGTTCCCGGCCCAGAGGGGTCCCTTTGTCCCCAGGGGAGGGGTTCCTGGTCCAGAGGGGTCCCTTTGTCCCCAGAAGAACGGTCACTGTCCATGAGGGGCCCCTTTGTCCCCAGGAAAGGGGTCCCCAGCCCAGAGGAGTCCCTTTGTCCCTAGAAGAAAGGTTCCTGTCCAAGAGGGGTCCCTTTGTCCCCAAGGGGGGTGTTCCTGGCCTGGAGGGGCCCCTTTGGCCCCAGGAGAGGGGTCCCCAGCCCAGAGAGGTCCCTTTGTCCCCACAAGAAGGGTCCCTGTCCATGAGGGGTCCCTTTGTCCCCAGGAGAGTGGTTCCTGGCCCAGAAGGGCCCCTTTGACCCCAAAAGAGAGGTCCCCAGCCCAGAGGAGTCCCTTTGTCCCCAGGAGAGGGGTTCCTTGTCCAGAGGGGTCTCTTTGTCCCCAGAAGAAGGGTCCCCGGCCCAGAGGGGTCCCTTTGGCCCCAGGAGAGGGGTTCCTGGTCCAGAGGGGTCCCTTTGTCCCCAGGGGAGGGGTTCCTGGTCCAGAGGGGTCCCTTTGTCCCCAGAAGAACGGTCACTGTCCATGAGGGGCCCCTTTGTCCCCAGGAAAGGGGTCCCCAGCCCAGAGGAGTCCCTTTGTCCCTAGAAGAAAGGTTCCTGTCCAAGAGGGGTCCCTTTGTCCCCAAGGGGGGTGTTCCTGGCCTGGAGGGGCCCCTTTGGCCCCAGGAGAGGGGTCCCCAGCCCAGAGAGGTCCCAAGAACGGTCACTGTCCATGAGGGGCCCCTTTGTCCCCAGGAAAGGGGTCCCCAGCCCAGAGGAGTCCCTTTGTCCCTAGAAGAAAGGTTCCTGTCCAAGAGGGGTCCCTTTGTCCCCAAGGGGGGTGTTCCTGGCCTGGAGGGGCCCCTTTGGCCCCAGGAGAGGGGTCCCCAGCCCAGAGAGGTCCCTTTGTCCCCACAAGAAGGGTCCCTGTCCATGAGGGGTCCCTTTGTCCCCAGGAGAGTGGTTCCTGGCCCAGAAGGGCCCCTTTGACCCCAAAAGAGAGGTCCCCAGCCCAGAGGAGTCCCTTTGTCCCCAGGAGAGGGGTTCCTTGTCCAGAGGGGTCTCTTTGTCCCCAGAAGAAGGGTCCCCGGCCCAGAGGGGTCCCTTTGGCCCCAGGAGAGGGGTTCCTGGTCCAGAGGGGTCCCTTTGTCCCCAGGAGAGGGGTTCCCAGCCCAGAGGGGTCCCTTTGTCTCCAGGAGAGGGGTCCCCAGCCCAGAGGGGCCCCTTTGACCCCAAAAGAGAGGTCCCCAGCCCAGAGGGGTCCCTTTGGCCCCAGGAGAGGGGTCCCCAGCCCAGAGAGGTCCCTTTGTCCCCACAAGAAGGGTCCCTGTCCATGAGGGGTCCCTTTGTCCCCAGGAGAGTGGTTCCTGGCCCAGAAGGGCCCCTTTGACCCCAAAAGAGAGGTCCCCAGCCCAGAGGAGTCCCTTTGTCCCCAGGAGAGGGGTTCCTTGTCCAGAGGGGTCTCTTTGTCCCCAGAAGAAGGGTCCCCGGCCCAGAGGGGTCCCTTTGGCCCCAGGAGAGGGGTTCCTGGTCCAGAGGGGTCCCTTTGTCCCCAGGAGAGGGGTTCCTTGTCCAGAGGGGTCTCTTTGTCCCCAGAAGAAGGGTCCCCGGCCCAGAGGGGTCCCTTTGGCCCCAGGAGAGGGGTTCCTGGTCCAGAGGGGTCCCTTTGTCCCCAGGGGAGGGGTTCCCGGCCCAGAGGGGTCCCTTTGTCCCCAGGGGAGGGGTTCCTGGTCCAGAGGGGTCCCTTTGTCCCCAGAAGAACGGTCACTGTCCATGAGGGGCCCCTTTGTCCCCAAGAGAGGGGTCCCCAGCCCAGAGGAGTCCCTTTGTCCCTAGAAGAAAGGTTCCTGTCCAAGAGGGGTCCCTTTGTCCCCAAGGGGGGTGTTCCTGGCCTGGAGGGGCCCCTTTGGCCCCAGGAGAGGGGTCCCCAACCCCACACTGGAGCCAGATTTAGGTGCTCCCCACCCAACTCAGCGGAGGAGCCGCCGCAGCACGAGCTGGTGCCTCGGAAGGATTTGTAGCAGAAAAAAAAAAAAAGTGGGTAAAAGTCCCTGAAAGAGAGCACAAGATGGCCTGGAGGCACTTACAAATTTAAAAGATGGGCCAAAAGCAGAGAGGAGAGAACAAAGCAGGGAGGAGGGACGCTGGAAACAGGGTCAGCGTCTCCATCCTCATTATCCCGTGGGGTCTCCGGGGATTTCTGGATGAAGACCTACAATTGCATCCGAGGGGATGCAGAGGAAGCAGATCCAGGACCCCAGGAATCACAGAGAGAGGTGGGCTTGAACCCAGGGGAGGGGGCACCAGGCTGGGAGACACTGGAGTGGATCAGATGTGCCTCCACCTCTGCTGGACACATCCAATGGTCCCGTGGGGGGCATCACCAAGAGCGTGGCCAGTGGCCACAGGTCGAGGGGGGGTCATCCCTCTGTCCCTGCTCCCCTCAGCACCCCTGCCTGCCCCCCTCCACGCAGGAAAAGCTCTTACCTCTGTGTCCTCTGTGGCTCCAGCCCCGGCTGAACTCGTGACGATGCCAAACCGCTCCTTCCTCTTCTTCAGCTTCTCGTCTTCTTCGCTCTGGGCACAAAGAAAGACAGAAAGAAAAGACGAGGATTTATTTTGTTGGCCATGCCCCAGGGTGCTCGTTTAGTGGGGAAATCGTGTCCCTCCTACCCCTGCTCCCCCTCAACCAGCTACTGGAGCATCTGCCAAAAGTTGGAGCGAGGAGGAGCGAGGCCAAGAGCGGAGCCGGCTGCTCCTCTCCCTCAGGAGATGTGGGGACTGGAGAAGGGATGAAGGAAGGATGGGGAAGGGCTGGGTTCCTTTGGCCAGGAACAGCCAAACCCATCAGTTCTCCTCAAAGTCCTCCACTTTCTGAGGATTTATTCCTCCCTCTGGTTGTTTGGTGACAGTTTGGAGACGCTTCCACATCGCTAGGACCTTGCCACCTTCACCCACCGGCTCAGTCCTGTCGGTCCCACTCCCCGCGGTGTCACCGGAGCCACCAGTGAAGGTTAAACCCATCCCTGGGTGGGACAGCAGGCACCATCCACCCAGGGCTCTCCAGAGCCCTCTCCCAGCTCAGAATCCCACCCTGGGTCAGGATTCCTCCAGCTTTGAGGGAAAAAAAGGCAAAGCAGTGGAACCAGAGGGTCGGGAACAAAGGAGGCCGGGAGGGATTATCATCCCGGGGATGGGGAAGGGGAGGAAGAGGAGGAAAAGTCACTCTCTGGAGCTGCACGACACACACAGACAGGGGTTTTGGCCACACAAAGAAAACCCAACCTGAGCATCAGGGCTCTTAAAAGCCAGGGCTGAGCCCCGTGAGGAAGAGGATGGCCCCAAAGCAAGAAGAAAAGCGCTGTGTCTTTAACGCAGGGACCCGGGAGGCTCCCAGGGACCACGCTGAGCTGGAGGGGTTTATTTATTTTTTCGGTAAATCCCCCCCCTCTTTGCTTCACACCCCCCC